GATCAAATTGATATAGGCAAAATTACTCAGAAAACTATAAATATAAGAGCTCTAAGAGGGTCAAAATAGTCAGAAAGGAAAAAAATAAGTCTTTTTACTACAGAAAACCTTTATAAACCTTCGCTCAAAGGTTAGAAAAACCTTCAGGTATGTCATAATCAGTTCTTCTTTAAGAACTTTCTTGCCATTGGTATCAAAGGTACTACTTGATTTTTTTTTATTACTAGAAGTCAAGTTTTTGAGTAAAGAGATTTGTAAACAATAGGGAAAGAATAAAAGTAACTCTTGAAGTCATACTTCAAGTTGTTTTAAGGAAAGTGTTAAGACTTTATTAGCAAGAAGGTGTAAAAACTTCTTGTGAATATCTTTTTTGTGTATGGTCAAAGGATCTTTTTTATCAAATATTTATTTTTATATAGTATATATTTAAAGAATTAATAAAAAAGATTTTTTTTTTTTTTTAATTTATTATTTTAATAATTATTAACCATTTAAAATTGAATATTTTAAAGTTTCTAAATAATATTAAAATGAATTTTATTATTAAAAAATTTATAAAATAGCTATTTAATTATTTTTCTTAAAAATTAAAAATTTATAACTTATCTATTAAGAATATTTCGATTTTCTTATTATAATTTAGCTGGAAAATCATCGTAGATAATAATATGACGTAGCATGAAATTAAATACAAGGGCTAATTAATTCCACCGAGGCTTGGCGGTTCTAAGCCATGGCTCCATTTTATCAGCGTCCAGAAAACGCTTTGAAAAGAGCTGAAGGTAGGCATGTCTTTTAGATCTTGCTTTAGAGAAGAAAGATCACCTAATCGAAAAATCTTATAAGATCGCTATATAATGGATTGTTTAATTAACGTATACTGTTAAGATAGATTAACAAGTTGAAAATATTTTAAATATTTTATATCGCAGAATTAATTACAGTTGGTCAAAATGTGGCCGCCCTTACATCTCTTCATGAGGTGATTTCGAAGCGACGCATCACAGCGCCGCTCACTTCGTTAGAGCCAATTATGCTTCGTTTTGTGGAATTATGTGTTAATCTTAGAAAGAGCAAGACAGCAAAGGAAGGCTTGCATCAATATAAAAATATCTCGCAAAACACCAATATTGTAACTATTGAGGTGAGTGATTGGAAACTACGTTCAAAAAGTATAGGGATCGAGATCAAATATTTAATATTGAATGTATACGCCTCAATTGAAATACTTAATTTCATGATATGTTTTAGCTCACCACGTTAGTTTTTTTTTTTTAATGTAGCTTGTGATAGAGAAATTTATTGAACTTTCTGAGGAAAAAGTAGCAGCAGCCCAAGCAAAGGCCGAACAGATTACCTTGGATGCTATTGATGATCTCGAGGCGTCTGAAACCCCAGAGTCAATTATGCTAAGTACTGTAAGTGGGGAACAGAGCAAAGATAGAACTGACAGAGCCGTGGTAACACCGTGGCTCAGGTTCTTATGGGAAGCTTACAGGACGGTTTTGGATATCTTAAGGAATAACGTTCGTTTAGAAATTCTGTATCAGGTGCGTTCACAAGTTTCGCTTAATTCATAAAAAATATCACACCTTTTCTTATCAATAATTTCACACTCTCACACAGAAAACTGCCCACCAAGCGTTCCAATTCTGCCTTAAGTATACCCGAAAAACAGAATTTCGACGCCTGTGCGATCTTCTTCGTAATCATCTCCAAAATATAACCAAATACGCTCATCAGCAACACACTATAAATTTGAATGAACCAGAAACTCTTCAGAGACATCTGGATACTCGATTCTATCAACTCAATGCTGCGGTTGAACTGGAATTATGGCAAGAAGCATTTAGATCTGTTGAAGATATCCATAACTTGTTATCAATGTCCAAGAGGCCTCCAAAACCTGTAATGATGGCAAATTATTATAATAAGCTGACAAAGATTTTTTTGGTCAGTGAAAATTATTTGTTCCACGCTTCTGCCTGGAATCGTTATTATACCTTAGTGAAAGCTCAGAACAAGTCTTTAACTGACGAGGAAAATACGAGGATGGCTTCCTTTGTATTGTTGTCTGCACTCGCCATCCCTGTTATTACCAGTTCCAAGTCTCGCATGCTTGAGATTGATGATAATAAAAATAAGCAACATCGACTTGCTTCGTTATTGGGTATAGGCCACTCACCTACTAGGTCGGGTTTGTTGAAGGAAGCTGTAAGTAATTTGTTTTATTTGATTTAAGATCATATTAATTTAACCACAGCCATTATTTATGACAAATTTTAATTAATATTAAAATTAGCTCAACAAAAACATTTTGCGTAGAGTCCGTCCAGAATTAAGGGATCTATACAACATCCTAGAAGTTCAATTCCATCCATTGTCAATTTGTAAGAAGATAGAGCCCATTATGAATCATCTCTCACAAGATCCTGAAATGGCAAAATACGTGAAACCTTTGCATCAGGTTATTCTAACACGTCTATTTCAGCAACTGTCGCAGGTTTATGATAGCGTTAAACTCGATTTTGTTATCAGTCTTGCGTCATTCGCCCCTCCATACAATTATGATGCGGCAACTATTGAAAAATTCATCATGAATGGATGCAAGAAGGGTGAACTTTCGATTCGCATTGATCATTCTACAAGTAGTTTGACATTTGAAACGGATCTTTTTGCGACCTCTAAAAATGCGGATGCAGATGGTGCGAAATTACAGGCGTCACCTGCTGAACGAATGCGGGATCAACTCTCACGACTCGCAAAGTGTTTTTACACTACTGTTCATATGATAGATCCTACCATTATTGAGTCAAAAAAGAATGCCAA